TTTTTGATAATGATGTCTAGTTTATCCAGAAATTTTTGGAAACAATTTTTGAGTTTTCTACGAATTTATACAAATTTTTAACTAAATCTGAAACTGTGTGACAGATTTTACCTTGTATTTGAAAATTTATTTAAAATTCTATACTAAGCCAAATCTGGTAATTTCTAACTAAAAGATGAAATTTGAGAAGTCTAGTTTCATGATAAATTTTTAGATTATGGGTTTGATCTATAAATTTAAGCATGGAATTAATATAAGGAAATGTGACAAATCTGTGTCATAAACACCCTTGGAATTTTTAAGAATTATTTATAATTTATTTTTGGAAAATGCTTTCTGAAAAATGACCATAACATGTTTATGGATTATTCTGTAGATTGATATGAATTTTTGAGTTGTATAAGTAATGTATTTAAAATTTTACTTGCAAGATATATATTCTGAAAATTTTTCAGGGCAGGATAAAATCACCACTTTCATATTATACTAGTCTAATTTAGTAAATCAAAAATTTGTGCAGGTGTGCATTTATGGTTTATTTCTTGTATTTAAGTTATTATGTTCATACCATGGTTTTAAGTAATTGTTTACTAAATTTTGTACATTGAACTATTATTGGGTGACATGCATAATATTTTATGTTGGGAGTTTTTCTTTAGTTGGTATAACGTTATTGGTGATTGAGATTTGAATAATTTGTGTTTAGTATATAAATTAACCAAAAGGATTAACGGTATATAATGAGTTACTGATGAAGGGTTAATACCGGGTATTCAGTGTGAGCCCTGGTTTTGGGAATTCTCACGTAAATTTTGTTGCGAAACTCTAAGATGGCACAGGACTTATTTTAACCCTTTTCGGTATTCGGTTTTGGAATAAGGGTGGATGTGTAGGTGGCACACAGGGAGGTTACTTACCCCTGGCAGACCGTTTCCTTGGGGCAGACCACGGATGCCACTACTTGGGTATATAATTCCGGACGTGGGCATCCCTGGTAGTTACGATTGGTAACACTTAAATATTTGACCAAGGGAGGGTTTCAAATTAACCGTTGACATGCTTACTGGTTGGTAAGTTAAATCTCTTTGGTGAGATTTCGAGTGTCACCTAATTTATTAAAAATTACTGAAATTATTCTAAGGGTTGTAATTTATGTGTATAATTATATTGTTATCTCATGTTTAAAATCTTATTATATTTCTCTTAAAAGGAATGGTAGGTTGGTTACGTTTTCTTATTGTGTTGCAAAACTCATGGCATATAATTTGTTGCCCTGGCGTTTCATGCCAGATTATGTCGAAGAAAGGACTGGGGCTGAAACTGGAGCTGCTGCCAATATCGAACCTTAGCTGACTTAT